TCTAAAACGGTAAAAGAACTTATTTTTGTGACCACTACAAGTGCGAATCACTCTAAACGCGCCTGCAGAGGCAATTTTGATACTTTAACCGACGGAAATTCTCCGGCAGAGAGATCGATATCAAAATATATAATAAATATAATACACTAATTTATTTGAGTTTATAGCCACATTAAGATCATACTTTCGTTTAAAAACATAAAAAACAAACCCGAACGCTGAATTCACAGACCCCAAACATAAAATTTGTATGCGTTCTATGAACAATAATAAAAAAATAAGAAAAATCGAACAACGTCGTCACTTAATTTCCAGAAAACTTTGGACAAAAACCTTTATATTCTTGCACTCAGAGCCAGACGTAGAAAACAGACAATTCAGTAAGCGTGGACTGCCAAACCGTAAAAATGACAGATATCCAATGACCGTACTCGTTGAAAACTCAATACGAACACTTATTATCAGGTTAAATATTATACTGGTGACGGTGTGACTGTATCGAATGGCAAAGATCAAATATTTTGATAACTTTATAACAACTAATGTAGTGAAACTATGACTCGGAACACACCGCGACGTAGATTCCGAAGAAAAAACTGTCTATAAACGTAATGTTTTCCCACAGAGATTTTATTCCGAAAACTAGTGAGATACAAATATGATTCGAGATAAAAAAAAATAAAATAATTTTTAATATTTAAGTAGATAAAAAGAACGGTCGAATATTTTATGAATACATGCCTAACTGCATATTTCAATGCCTGATTATTTAGGTTCTCATTGAACGATTTTCTAATCTGACTTGAAATTGTTAGGTATTTTTTCTTTCGTATTAATCCGATCGAACCGACTTATATGTCACTGTATTTTTTTTCACCTGCACCCGTTTCGTAGCGCTGATTATAAAAATATGCGAGTAAAAAATTGGAACAAATACAATTTATCAATATCGAACGGGGCACCGTTTGAAAGTTTTTTTTTGAAACGTATCGAACGATTAAAAGTCTCCTGTTCCGTCATTAGGTATTGTATTTCAATGGTCAAACGATGGAAACGACGAAAATGAACGATACATAAAAAAAAAAAAGAAAAAAAAAATCGAAGGACCGCAAACACCTTGTGGGCCGCGTTCACCGGATAGCTTCGAGTATTTTTATGACGGGCACGTGTCATCATCGTCACCGGGAAAACTGTACATTCCGCTTGTGGTCGGTGCCAATATCGTGAAGGAGAGAGACTCATTCGCCCACCACGAGTCTGCGCACACCTACCGCGTTCCATATAAATGCATTCGCATTATTCTCGTGCGATATGTCTCGTACTTTTTCCCACGACTTTGACCACAAAGGACTGCATAAATATATACATAAAACCGGGTACACTTTATTACGTATTTCAAATCGAAATCTCATGGTTAAAACAAACAAGTCCGAAATATCAAAGTTCGGCGTAACATGAACGCACGAGGTACACGAGTATTTGTGCAAGCGATCTAACTTCTGACCACGTCCTCTCGCCAGCGAGTACCACAAATGCGTTAAACGGCAAAAACAGCACTTTTTTTTTTTCTTACCCCTAACGCGCAGGGTCAATAGGCGAAATCTACGCACTGCATTTACGATTATTGTTGTACGTGCAAAGTATGTGTGTATTTATTTACACGCATACGCGGAGAGCACATCGCACGATTTTTTTTTTTTTATACACAAGTTTAAGCCTCTCGAACAACATACATATTTAAACCGAGATCCATCAAAAACTCCGCACGGGACAGGTTTCTCCGAGTACACAAAATAAACGATACATACGTGTATTATTATACGCGTATCAGGAAAGCGGATTATGTGCGTTCATCCCGCAGCCGAAAGCGGTTGAACCGATCGGAATCACACGTTACATTTACAGAATTTAAATAAAATTTTTATTAATTAATGAAATTTTTAATTCCGTTTATATAAGGAATTACACGTTCAAAAGCAAGTGGAAAACACTTGATGGCTGTGAATAATTCGCGTACGTGCGCATCCACTAACGCATCCAGACCTATCGTTACTACGTCGTTGGTACAATTACATCATCCAGATAACCAACTATAATGCAGCTGTGCCAGGTTTGAGCATATTACTGAAACCTGCATTCGAATGAAATCATACCTGGCGTTAAAACCTTCCCCCGTCCAACTTCACAGTATACGAATACGTACACTTCCTCGCGTAAAAACAAGCGAGACATAAAAATAATAATAATAACAACAATAAAAACCAGTACCATCTCGTCGTGGTACACGCACATACCATAATATAAGGGTATGATATCTACGCGAACCCAGATACTGGTTATAATCGTAAATATAAATACAGTGAAAACTTGCGGACAACGTGAACACACAATTATAAACACAAACACACACACACACACACACACACACACACACACACACACAC